GGGGAATGTTCCCCCACCTCCCATGCTTCTTTTGCTGCCTTAACTCCCCTGTGTCCTGGAGGTGAGGGCAGCTCTAATTTCTTCCCTGCCTCCTCCCTTTCCTCTCCCCATGTTTTGTATAAAAGTTAAAAAAAATTTTTTTTAAATTGTGAGGGTGGGTGGGTGTCCAGGGCTGGGGGCTATCCAGTCTCTGGGGATTTCTCAGCTCTGGGCAAAGTGGTGGTGAGGGGTGGGGGGAGGGAGTTAAGGGGGCCACCTCCATTCTGGGGAATTTATATTTGAACTGAGGCTCTGGCCTCGATGCCCAGGAACTTTTTTATTACAATCGCTTAGGAAGTAAAGCCTTGTCTCCCTCCCCGTTCTGTGCCTCCTGAACCTCTCCCTGTCCACCTCCAGCCATCCTTAGCCCCAGTTCAGCCTTCCCTGCCCCTCCAGGGGCCACGAGTGCCTGGGTTTCTAACCCCACAGGTTACAACGGGAGAGTTGGACATTTTATGATGAACCAAAAATTCTGTGTGTGAGGGGGTAAGGGGGAGAGGAGGGTGAGGGGTGCCACCCATAGGCCACAAATCTCTACAAGTGCCTCTTCTACTCCCCACCCCAGCACTGGTCCAACCCCTTCACCCCCAGCTGCTCCTAGGACCAGCCCATAGGCAGGTGAGTGGGGGGTGGGAAAGGTGAACCCTGAAACCAAACTGGAAGCCCCCTCTGCCTCCCAGCTGGGGCCCCTTGGGGTGAGGGTCTATGGTCAAGCCTTATTCTGTATTGGGGGTGGAGGGTGGGAGGGGAGGGAAGTTGAGGGCTGTTGGAGAATGTATTCAAACAATAAAACTTTGGGCCTTTGGATGGAGTGACCTGTCTCACTGCAGGGCCATAGCCCGTGCTAGATTCTGAAGGACGGGGACCTTGACCGGCTCCCCAGTGGATCGATGGCCAGAGTAGAGTGAGTGCCTCATCTCATCCAAATGGATCAGACCCAGGGCCTGGGAAACTATCTGACCTTGAGGGGTACATAACCCCCAGGGCCTGATGATTAAGGTCTCAGGCACACTGTCATCTGATTGCTCCCCTATTCCCTGGGGACCACTTGTCCTTGGGAGCATTTAGACTCTTCACCTATTGCCTGAAATGCCTTTCTTCTCTGGGTATGAATTGCTATCCATGTCCCTGGGCTCTGGTGAAGGCCTGGACTTCCCTTTGCACTGTACTCTAGCGTCCTCCCACCTATCACTTTCCTTAGGGCATTTCTGAGTTAGTCTGGGGTCCTTTGGGGACAGGCCTACAGTCTCAAAATGTAGACCTTGCAAGGGATCTTCGTGATCTTCCCATGGAACCGTGGGACACCCTCTGCCCATAAGGTGAGATGGGACTGACTGTACCAAGTATCTGGTACTTAACTAGGAGCTGCAATGCTTTATCTCCAACATCCAGCAAGGTAGAAGTGATTTAATGACTTGCTCAAGACGCAAGCCCACGCCTTAGCTGGTTTGGCCCAGTGGATACAGCGTCAGCCTGTGGACTGAGGGGGTCCCAAGTTCGATTCCTGCCAGGGGCACGTGCTGGGGTTGCAGGCTCAATCCCCAGTGTGGGGCATGCAGGAGACAGCCAATCAGTGATTCTTTCTCATTGATGTTTCTCTGTCTCGCCCTTTCCCTTCCTCTCTGAAGTCAATAAAAATATATTAAAAAAAAAAAAAAAAGACCCTAAGCCCAGCCACAACTTTCAATGAGGTTTGTCTCAAGTGTGTTTTCACCTCCTGAGTTTCTAAGATCAGGATGGTTGGATCCAGACCATGGTCTCAAGATCATAGGATCTGAGAGGAGAGCTCATGAAGCTGGAGGCCTCGCTCCGAGAGCTCTCGTCAAGGATGAGAGAATGGGGGGAAGCATCCAGGCTGCAAGTGCTCTTTGAGAGCCCAACTCCTTACGTGCTGGTGAAGTGCCTGAGGCCCAGAGTTTTCCCAAAGCCACACAGCTGCTGAGAGCATGAGAACGGAGGGCTCAGGGCCTGTTGGAATGGGTTCTCTGGAACCCCACCCTGTGCAACTCCTACCCACTTTCTCTTCACCCTCTTTTCATGCCAGCCTAGAGTGGGGTAGTCCCAGATGATGTCTGGAGGTTGGCAATGAGAGGATCCAGGGATGGGGTATTGGCAGGAAACCGAGGCTCCAGTGGCAGCCTGTGGGCAACTGCTCCCTCTCCTGGGTGATGTAAGTCATTCCCATGGGTGGGGGGGCACTGGGCTATTTCTGGAAGTTGGGATGAGGCATGTCTCCTGGCAACACAGATGCAGCCGATTTGGTGGTGGTGGTGTGAGGGAGAAAGGGGGATGTCATCACATGGGGGAGGTGGGAGGACCCTGCCTATAGTCTTAACTTCTGATTCCAGTGCCTTCAAAGCATCTCTAACAATTCTAACATGGATTCATAAGCTTTCACTTCCAGAATTGCTCTCCAGGTCAGACCGGACCAAACAGACTCGTTGCCCCCAATTTGAGCTGACCAGGATGTCACAGGTGGCATCTGGTCTTGAAAACCCCAGTGGACCTCTAATCTTTAGTGACCCACCTATATCTATTTAGTTTCTGCAAGACCATTCCCTTGCTCCCTTCCACATCCTCCAGGATCTCTGGTTCCAAGTAGAAAGCCCTTTATAGATTTCATGACACTTCATCAATTAATTCATCCCATCAGAGGTTCCCTTCATACCTGTAATCCCCACAAACCCTCAAAGCTCCTCCCTGATGCTTCTCATCCACCCCTTACCCCTTCAGGTCCCCCAGTTAGCAGTAGTTTCTCAGTCTCCCACAGTTTAAGAACACCCCAAGTTCCCTCTGACTTCTCCACTGGTCCCCAATAAGATCCCTTCACTTGTCCTCGCACTCCCCTGGGTACCTCCAGAAATCCATAGGCAACCTCAGACACTTACAACCCGCCCTGGCACCGCTCAACAAACGTTCTCGGTCGTACAAACACCCGGTTAAGATTCCCTGTCTCCCATGTATCCCAGTGCCTCGTGGCGGTTGCCTATGCGCTGCCCACTGCGCATGTCCCACGGGTTCTGGCCGTTAAGTAACCGCCACTCTCCCGCCCGCCCCGCAGCCCTTCTGAGCCTTCGTGGTCCAGTGCAGGATTATTTCCCAGGCTTTGGGACTTGACTCAGATTTTTGTTTTTCGACCCAGAGCTGCCGTCAGAGGGCAGCAGGCATTGTTTGGCTGACAAACTACAACTCCCGAAAACACCTGCTCTGGGTTGTGCGTGATTCTGCCGTTTTCCTTGAGAAGGGAGCGGCCGCGGGTGCGCGCTTTGCCTTTTGGTTAATGTAGTCCGAAAAGGCTTGAATGCTACCGTTCCGTCCCGGGGGTCTGCACCCATTGGGAATTGCAGTCAGGAACAGAGACTTTATTCAGACTTCAGAAAGGGCAGGGCAGTTAGTATGAACACAGGCTCGGATTAAAGTGACATCTAGAGATTGCATTTCACATTATTCCACGAGGCAGGAGGGGCTTGAGGGTGATTTCATTCTAGTTCCAAGTATTTCCGGGACACACACACTCACACGAACTGTTTCCCAGCTCCCTTTGGTGCTATTGTCCTTCCGGGCATTAATCGATATATGGGGCGACATAATGCATACACAAAACCCAAGGCTCCTCCTAGCAGCCGGTTTCCTTGTTTGGGCCCACCAAGATCCTGTAATACAGAAAGCAGGAGGACGCAAAAAGCTGAATGGGGGTTTAAGGCAAATTGTATTTTCTTTTCTAACGCTTGGCCTCCTGGTGTAACTCACAATGCTAGAAAAAAACTAGATTGTATCCGAAGACTACTGTTCTGAGAAAAGCCCCGGGAACTTTGTTTCTCAAATCGTTTGCAGGGAGGTTTTCCTTCCCGATTTGTGGAAACTTGGTCTCCATGTTCCAGCAGCCCTTAGTTGATCCGGTTCTTCCTTAGGACCTGGGGGAGGGGAAGGAGACGTGGAAACACTCTTCGGTCTCCATAGGAACTGCCGTCTTTCCCCTTTCGCTCACGCTTTCCCGAAGGTACCCTTTGGACTCCACTTTCGGGCCAGCGTAGTCAGTCTTGGCCGACAGGGTAAGGATACAGAGTGCCCGATTCCCCAGCATGCTTCGGGCTCAGGTAGCTCCCTCCCCTCAGTCAATAGGAAAAGGCTGCCTTGAACTCCATTTCCCAGAAGACACAGGGGCTCGCGGTAACAACTGCTCCGAAGCCTTGGTGTTGACTACATATCCCGGCAGGAACTGCGGCCTAGCTTATAAGGGAGGAGGAGCGCTGAATCTACTCCATTTCCTTAGCCTGTCTCCGGAACTGCAGTATCCTCTTGGGGTTTAGGGATCACATGGGACTCCATTTCCCGGTGTGCTTTGGGAGTCTCTTTATACCTGCAATGCAGTGAGGGCGTGGCGAAGACTCCATTTCCCAGCTTGCCTGACTGTCGTATATTTGTGGGTCCTCCTGCGCGGACTCAATTTCCCAGAGTGCACCTGGCCCCGGTGGGCATATACAGCCAATAGAATCAGTGAATGATTAGACTGTTTCCCAGTGTGCGTCAGGTCATTGACGGAGTGGCTGTGACTACATTTCTGACACACTGAATTGCTCACGGTTGCCTCAGTGGAGTGAGTGTGCGACTCTGACTCAATTTCCCTGAGTACTTTAGGGTCCGCCGTGGACGAAGTCGACTTATTGCCAACAACTCTATTTCCTGACGTGTATCGCGGCTCATCATCCGCGCAGTCGACTCTGAGGCCTTTGCGGACTCCATTTCCCGGCGTGCCTCACGGCTTTCTCCAGGCCGAGGGCGGTGACGGCGGCGCAGAGGGGTGGTGGACTGCATATCCCGGCGTGCCCCGCGGCGGGCGCTGGGCCGGAGCCGGAGCCCGAGCGGCGCGGCCTGGAAGAGGCCGGAGGCCGGGAGA